GATAGACTCACTTATCCCGGACCCCAAGACTGGATTGTTGTCCCAACATGCTGTACACATGGAGATCTCCAAGAACCTACTAGAAGTTAGCCAAGGTGTGGCAAACTTCATTCTTGAAGGCGAAAACGATGTGTGGGAGAACAAAGCTCTAAGATCTTTGGTCCAGGCCTATTTCGACAATACTATCAAGACTTTAGAGATTTTCGATAATGTAATGGATTACGTGGAGAAAGCAGAAATGGGGCAACTTTACATTCAAGAAGCCGTGGCGCAGTTTGACAAAGAGTCGGCAGAAAAGGATCTTGGTGGAAAAAAGAAGAGGTATGAAAAAACCTTGAAGAATCTGAACAAGTTCAAAGCCATGGGAGATACTTTCGATGGCGGCGAGCTCATGATTCAGTTCGACTTGATCAAAAAGCAGCAAGAATCCCTTCTTCAGGATGTTAGTGAAGCTAAAACAAAGTTTCATGAGGAATATGCTAAGCTAAAAGCAGGGAGTATGATTTCACATGCGGTTTTCGGCGCTGCATTTTTCGGTACTTTGATTGGTTCGGTAGCTCTACTGATAACAGGCGTGGGTATACCTTTAGCCATTGCGGGGTTTCTATCATTACCAGTGATGGCGGTGGGATGGTCAGTCACTCACTTTCTATTAGAGAAACGGATGGATGAACTGAAGAAACTGGAAGAAACTTTGACGAAAGTGGAAGGAGTATCATCACTAGTGGGTATTGGCATAGAAACCAACGAAGAAGCTCTGAAGAGTGTATCTGAAATAGCCCACCAGCTAGAGAAAAAGATCACGTCCATTATAAAATATGTGGATGATGCGATTGAGAATGAAGGAGATGAGGTGGATATGAAACTTGCCCTTCACTTAATCAAGGAGAAAGTAATGAAACTAACAGAGAAAATCAAGGAGGTTGGTGAAACTGTGGCTAGTCATAGCAAACTAATCCTTGAAGCGAGATTTCACGTTCTCGAAAAGATCAACGGTTCGGGAAAATATCGTCGCGGTTAAACATTATTGATATTTGTTGTTCAAGAGTTCCATCTTTTCTATGTTTCAATAATTGGGTTTACAAACTCATATTGTACCTTTCTATTTTGCTTTGTAAGGTAAACCATTCGAGAAGATTGGTTGATTTGTGCCTTTTTATTTTATTTTGTAACGTTGACCATCTGTGGTTTATAAATTCCTCGTATTGTTTTTCGTGAAATAAAGTTGTTATATTGGTTTTACATTCATCTTCACAAATTAAATGACCAAAACACTTTACTCTCGTTATAAAATAACTCCTTCCTCAGTTTGGCCTATCCTCATTTTGGGAAAAACGGAATATTCATACCCCAACTCAAAAAGTATGTTCAGTTCATACCTACATGTAAATAAATACCTAAATTAATTATATACTCAAATTCACTACCTCGTGTTACTGTTTCGCGCATGAACATACATATTACAAAACGTCGTTAAGATCCTGTTTACCGTAGCTGACGTAGAGGCCACATCATTAACAACATGTTTAAGCTTTAATCCAATTATCTAAAATTAAATGACGTCGTTTTCTCTGAATATAAAAACTTCCACAATGGCATTATCAGCTTCTTCTGTTTGTGTTATGAATTGAACTAATTATGAAACTTTGAGAAAATTCTTAAACAACAACAAATGAAATACTTAAACTTCAAGAAACATTTTTAATCATTCTAAAAAGTTTAGAGACACTACAAAAACCTATACTAATAAATCCCGAAAAAAAAACAAGTAATTCTTAAAAAACACCAAACCACTAGAAGCCACAGCCTTGAATTCTCACTCAAACATATCCTGCAAATTTATGATAAGAAAACAAAAACAAAGTAAGCTTAGATTACCAAACCAACGAAATTCCGTTTTTCCCCTCATTTTGATTCGATACTCATTATTTGATTGCTTAAATTAGATTAAAGCACTTTCTCTTTTATTTGATTGCTTGATTGATTTCATAATTCTTTCTCTTTTGTTCAAAATTGAAATTCAATTTCAATAATCTAAGGTTAATTTTGTACAATTTTTAATTTGTACTTCTCTTTTAACTATAAGAATATAGAACTCATTATTTTCAAAATCGTGAGGCGAGATTTCATGTTCTAGAAAAGATCAACGGTTCTCGAAAATAACATCGTTGTTGAACGTTATAGATATATGTTATTCAAGATTATCAATACCCATAAATTTTATGTTTTTAAGCATTGTACCTTTTTATTTTACTTTGTAACGTTTAATCATCCAAGAGGATTGGTTGTTATGTATTTATAATTAGGGTTCGTAAAATAAAGAACGTGTGGTGCGTGCATACGGATAATGGATGGGGTTAGTGAGTAATCCATGTGACCATGTGTTTAGTATTTGATCTAGGTCGTTACATTTGGAATCTTATAAATATATTAATAAATGAATGTATGAAGCATTGTAAATTACGTTGACATTACACACGCATATGCATATATACATAAAACTTGCATATAAAACGAAAGCAAGTTAGGTCCTAGGAATCCAGTAATTTAGAATAGTCCAAAGAATACATGACTTCATGTGTTTTTTCTACTAATTTCAAGATCTACTATACTTATTGACTAAAATAACATGCAAGTATTCTCCTCGTTCGTAAGTTGTACATAACCTTGTTAATATAGTTATTGACTAAAATAACATGCAAGTATTCTTCGTACATAACCTTGTTAAATATATATAGTTATTGACTAAAATAACGTAACATGCAAGTATTCTTCATACATAACCTTGTTCAATATATATATAGTTATTGACTAAAATAACATGTAAGTGAAAAAAGAAAACAAACTTGTAAGTATATTATATATAAATATCGAATTAAGTTGACAAATCACATGGAGTCATATGCATGTACTCATTGCTGGAGGGTTGATGTCAAAATTTAGTTGTTAGCACATTAACACAGTTTTAAGCAAAGGATTAACTCTGCCCGACAGTTTAAGCAGAGAACTAACTAATGTTAAGTCCTAACTAGGAATCCAACAATTTAGAATATGGGTTAATAATAGTCCAAAGAGCACATGGCTTCATGTGTTTTTCTACTTATTTCAAGATCTATTATAGTTATTGACTAAAATAACATGCAAGTATTCTCCTCGTACATAGCCTTGTTAATATAGTTATTGACTACAACAAGTCAATAACATGTAAATATTCTCCTCGTACATAATAACCTTGTTAATATAGTTAATGACTACAATAAGTCAATAGCATGTAAATATTCTCCTCGTACATAACCTTGTTAATATAGTTAGTGACTACATAAATAGTTGTTAGCCCATCATCACCTCATTAATTTTTATGAATTCAAACTTTCTTTCTAAACTCGTATAATTTTTGGATTCATGTTCAATTTTTCAAAAATAGCACTAATCTAAATTTTTCTTCCAAACTTAGCACACACTCTCATATTTTCCAAAATTAGCATTAACTTTTAAAATTAAACTTTCAAAATTAAATCCTTAAATCTAAAAAATTAAATTCTATCTCTTAAAACTATACCCTAAATGTAAAATAGTCAACCCAAACGTAAAAAAAATCTAGAAAATTATTTAAAATATTGTAATTATGTTAATTAGTGCTATTTTGAAAATTTGTGGAGTGTGCGCTATAATTGTCCATAAAACATATTTTGGTGCTATTTGAGGGTATTTCTCTTCTTAAAATTATCTTCTTCTCAGCTTTAAGATGTAATTTCATAAGGTTGAATACTTGTTTATGAACAAGTCCAAATTCCCGAAAACATCTACATGGCTAACATGTGATTTATAAAGAGATGTTGTGCAATTGTACATATGTAACTAGTCATAAATGTATAATGTTTGGAACCATATACATTGAACATATTCACCAATATGTTTTAACAAATTTATAGATACATCTTATTTACTAACATGCTACACAACGAATATGTAGCATGCAAAACCGATGAAAATTATACTAGTGCTTGTTATAAAATCACACAACGAACTTCGTATATGTGTTTTTCATTGCTACCCAAATTTGTGTTTTACTAATTGGAGTTAGCCAATACTTTTATGTAGGACGATCCCATTGTCTAATATTTTTGGTATGGTACTTCATATTCCAATAGGAATTAACATTGTTGCCTCACATTTATTTAGTTGACTTTTATTTATTGATTTGAGGTTATAGTTGTAACAAACCAAACACATGTACATCGATCTGTTTTCTCCTATAAATACTTGAAGATCAGTCACTTATCAAATCATATTCAAACTTCAAAC